TAACTTTTGAGGTTTTTTTTCTCCCAGTAGTATAAGCCCTGTGACAACTACAAATAAGTGATACTTTTAGGACTGTAAGAGAAATTCTTCAGTTCTTTGGCCATGATTGAGCTGAAGGTTTAAAGACCTGAGCTTCTCAATTTCTTTCTGTAAATGCATTCATGAGACTCCATCCCATATCACAACCCATATAGTAATTATTAGTGCCATAATAGCCAAGTAAAAGAGCCATAAACATTACTGTCACCTGCAGGGGATAATAGGATTCATCAGGATGCCCCTGCATGCCATCAATTACTGCCATATCTGTTCCACTGGTAAAGGAGCCCAGCACACATTTAAGACCAAGGCATGACCAAAGCACTCCTCCAATTCTATTTCTCAGGTTCTGTTTCCTGGGATTACTCCTGATAATAATTTTTGTGTCAGAACCTGAAGATAGAAACCACATCATAGAATGCAATAGAAAGATTGTCAGTTAGGTGTACAATTGTTAACTAGGTAACTGAAAGGTAAAAATATTATTCTAAGGTATTAAGTAGATTTCAAGTGCAGGAAGCAGCTACCACCTTTAGGGATGAGAAAACAAAGGAAAGGGATTGGGATTATTAAATTTAGTAATGTAGAGGAGGGGCCTTGCAGAACTGAATGAACCATGACTTCTGAGACACACTGGCCAGCAGATGCTGATGTCTCTGAGCTCTGGAGAAAGACTTTGTGTCTCTGGGGAAAGGGCTGTGAGTCCTTTCTTTCTCCTCCAACCTTGCAGGCTCCCTTTATCACCTCCTATTAACAGAATATACTTGCAGCCAGCTGGCAAAGCCATTACATGATTTGAAGCTCCAGCATGACAAAGCTGAGTAGGGTGGATTTGGAGCTGAGAGCTGCCAGTAACCTAATAACTAGCACATGTACCTTCTGATCTGACTCAGCCAGTTGGAGCCTTCCAAGAATGTCCTAATGTTAGAAGAACCCAAGAGTGTCCTGGAATAGTCTTTTTTCTTTGGTTTTAGAAAAGAAAGAAGAGAAGGTGGCCTTCCCTTTCCCTGTGTTGAAATGGACTGGAGAGGTTTTACACTAGAAGTAGATATTTCACAGCAGCCAAGCGCACTCTGCCACTAACCCATACTTTTCCACAAAGATCCTGAGGAGGAGAAAAAGCTAGGGCTTTCCTCCCAGGCTGGTCCCTTATGCTTTTCTTGCTTATCCTTTAATCATAGTGTCCCAAAATATCTCTCATTTTAATCTGAATTCATTTTTCAATTCTGATAACATCTTTGTCAAGGGCCTGAAAGGCTGAATACAAAAAGTGTATTAGTGAAATAAGTGAGTTAAACTGGAAAATATTGCCATTGAAGAGACTTATGAAGGAGTAACTAAGATAACAAAGGTTAGAGCCATCTACCAAAACAAGCTTTAATGTGCTGGAGGATATATCTGGTAAAAAAGGAAGTATGGATTAATACACAAGGATGAATTAGCAGGATGAAAGGGCTGTTTGACATAAAATCGGTAAATTAGGTCATTATTTGTGATGATGGGAAAGTGTTATTTGATCACTTATGGGTTTATATAGTAACAATGGTTCCTTTTGAGTGTTTTAGGATGATCATTATATATGCCTTGTGATCCATATTCTTTTTCATCTTGACTCTTTTATGAGCCTTGGTTTTTCTATGATGTTTTTATTATTGTGAACTGATTCTCGTTTCATACTCTGTCCTGTTTTTTATTTTTCCTGACTCTTCCTTCTCCTCCTCATAACCCTCTTTAGCTCACATCTGATTCTTGTCGAAGTGTTTCTCTAGAGCCCTCATTAGTCCTTCCATCTTTTCCTTATATAAAATCATTGTTATTGTGCAGAGACCTCTGGGAGAGGAGTCAGCTCTTGGCTTTGCTGATATAAAAGGCTATTCAAAAGTTAGAATCTCTGGGCTTCAGTTTTGTCTTACATAAAATGAAGAAATTAGACTATGTAATTTCTAAGATTATTTGAATTTCTAACAATGTACAATTCTAGAACTTGAGGGAATTTTTCAGGATTGAAGACAACTAGTCTAATGAACATTGCTCACATAGAAGAAAAAGATTTGTCAATTAGGCAAACTCCGTAGGGAAAATGGCCATTGTTTAAATAACAAGTAAGGCTCTTCTAAAATGAAGAATTTTTGTAACTCTAAATGTCTAATGATCCTGAGTGTTGAGATTGCAGTGAACTTTGTACTCAGGGCACAAATTTGAAATTTGTATATGTTAGTGGTGATCTATTGAGTCTTTTAAAGTGAAAAGAGAACAATCTAAGTTGCTAATTATTGGAGGTTTATAACCATGGAATACATTTCTGGAATTAAGAGTGTGTTACAAGAGGAGATGGGAGTGACAGGTGAAAATTTCCTTGGGGTAAAAGTACAAGAAATATGGTTAAGTCTGCTTGGGACTGAAGTAATGGACAGAAAATTGAAACAATAGGCCTGAAAGCACTTTTCAGTAGAGCAACTAAGCTGCAATATCTGTCATTCTATTGATCTCTTGGATTGCTTACATTTATCTGGTGGGCCAGGATCATGTCCCCTGACTACCTCACCACTCTCAGTGCATGATTTGGAGTGGATATTCTTCTATTTAGAAGAGAGCCTTTTTTTCAGCCAAGCTATAACCCCCCTGCTACAACCCTCACTCCTCTTCAAGGAGAGTAGCAGTAATATACATAGTGTTATTTTCCCAAGAGAAATAGATGTATCTGATAAATTTCAGTGATTCATCTGTCTATCCATCCATCCATCCACCTATCCATCTATTCCATAAATATTTAGTGAGCCTCTGTCATAGCCTAGGCACTGTGACAAGTGCTGATGAACCAGTCCTAGACACCCTAGACATGACCCTGGCCTCATTGAGTTTATGTCTCTCTCATCTTAGACTTCTAATCCTCACTCATTATTCTCCACCCCCCACCCCCCGACACACACACACACACACACACACACTTCTCAAGCCTCTGAAAGATTTTGGGCTTTTTTTGCAATTGAAAGCTTTTCTGTTTTGGACAGGTTA